TAGATAGAAAAAATACATGTTCGCTTATATTTAACTTTTATGTTTTGGTACATCGTGTGGATCTTGGATAGAAAAATACATGTTCGCTTATATTTAACTTTTATGTTTTGGTACATCGTGTGGATCTTGGATAGAAAAATACATGTTCGCTTATATTTAACTTTTATGTTTTGGTACATCGTGTGGATCTTAGAATGAAAAACACAATAACCTGTTTTTTTTTAAACTGCAGGAATTAAAGTAGTTGAAAATAAATAAAGGAGATTTCTAAAGCTGTTGTGAAATGGTGTATTTTCTTCTTGCAATTAAAACTATAACAACCTCAAAAGGTGTACATTAAAGTTTTCTCCATAAAAGTTCATTTAAGGACATTGTTTTATTTATTAAAAACAGATGGTCAGTTCAATAAAAACTGCACAAGTATTTGGATTCTTTGTTTGGTTAGATTGTCTAATAAAAGCTGATAATATGCTAAATATTTGGTCAAATACCATATAAATCTCTACGTACAGACATCTACACATATCAAGACAGACACGAACTGTCTCTAGATTAGACTTTTATATCGTACGAGCAAACAGAAAGAATAAAATGTTCCAATGACCTACCTTGTACGTCAGTACACTTATCCATTAGAAGCTTTTCATTGGCTTTTTGAAGGTAGTCAATATACTCGACAGCTTTTTCTAAAATTCCATTTTTACTCTATAAAGAATTTAAACTATGTTTATTTTGGAGCACAAAAACGACAAATTCAAGAAGATAAATAAGCTTGTATATATATATACACTAAATTGGTTTATCGTTCTTTTAAAATTACATCTGAAGGATTTGTGAAACTAAAATTGAATATATTACAATTCATTAGTTCTATCATCATAAAATTTATCTATTTTTTTAATTCCTTTAATCCAGTTTCACGTAGGGTTGTGAAATTTAGAACCAATACACTACAATCTATTAGAATTACCTTCTACAGTCTGTACACACATATATATAGTCATTAATTTTAATTCAGTGGTTTTGGAAATTTAAGATTCAATATACTACAATTCATTAAAACTACCTTGTATTTCTTTTAATTTCTTCAATCTCATTTCACGAGAAAATTAAAAATTTTTTCTTCTATTTTTTGGTCGCTAAGAAACCGTGTAAAATATGATGTTAAAATTTGTCAAAAAGAAAACACTTCACTATGGCTACAATATAATATGTAATATGTAAAGGTAACCAAAAGTAACAAATTACATATCAATTAAATATTTCATGAATAATATTATATTTTCCACTAATTATTTAAACTGAGTAAGTAAAAACATAAGAATAACAATTCATGTTCGCTAATGTTCCCAACAAAAGAAAAAAATTGTTTTAGACTCCAGGATTATTTTACTCTTTACTCTTTAGGTACGGAAAGAGTAACTTGGACTATACAATTAGTCATATTTCTCTAGACGTTTACTATAAAAATAATTAAGGTCTTGTTATTTTATTTTCTTGAAGAAAACATATCCTTAGTGGTGAAAATGTTACGTTTACGGAAGAAATAAGAACCACCGAATCTTTGGAAAGTTATTCATTCTCATGTAAACATTGAAAATGTCTGCAAGTTGCAAAATATATGAAAAAAAGTTTTCACATTTACAAATATATATATATATATTTACACACATAGTATTATTACATACACACAATAAAAATACTAATACTTTCTATTGTAAAATACTAATACTTTCTACTGTAAAATACTAATACTTTCTACTGTAAAATACTAATACTTTCTATTGTAAAATACTAATACTTTCTATTGTAAAATACTAATACTTTCTATTGTAAAATACTAATACTTTCTATTGTAAAATACTAATACTTTCTACTGTAAAATCCACAACAGAGATGTAAACCATGATTAGGAGATTTAGAATATGACAGAAGTTTTTAAGAGTTTGTTAAGAATGTTAATTTAGGATCAACTTTTGAAACCACACCATCAATATTGTTACTGAAACTGCTTTATACATTACAATCATACCAAGAATAATATTATAATACACGCACAACATTGACACCAGAATATATCCTGATACATGTATATAATTTACTCCAGAAAGTAATATTATAATACATGTACAACATTGACACCAGAATATATCCTGATACATGTATACAATTTACTCCAGAAGTAATATTATAATACACGCACAACATTGACACCAGAATATATCCTGATACATGTATACAATTTACTCCAGAAGGTAATATTATAATACATGCACAACATTGACACCAGAATATATCCTGATACATGCATACAATTTACTCCAGAAGGTAATATTATAATACATGTACAACATGTAGAAGAGGGGATAATATTCTGATACATGTACAACATGTAGAAGAGAGGATAATATTCTGGTACATGTAGAATAGGGGATAATATTCCGGTACATGCACAACATGTAGAATAAGGGACAGTGTTCTAATACATGTACAACATGTAGAATAAGGGATAATATTGTGGTACATGTACAACATGTAGAATAAGGGATAATATTGGTACATGAACAATATGTAGAATAGGGGACAATGTTCAAGAGGGGACAGTAGTCCAGTACTTATAGAACACTTACATTGTTCGCTAGTGCTACGATTCTGAATGCATTAGCTCTATGGAAGTCTAATTGGAACTGTATTCCAAATCACACAAACTACAATGTTAAAAAACTTTGTCAGATATAACTATTTCAAAGATGTTTGTGAAAGTACACTCTAAAATCTGTCAAAACTAAATATTTTCTGTAGTTTCAAGTTCTATAAGCCATTTTTCTAAATGGTTATCAAGATTCTCCCCTAAAAATAAAAAGAACAAATGAATCTTACTACGTTAGTGTTTATTTTTTTTTGTATAATATGAATTGAAAGGGTTAAGAAAATATAAATTTTATATATTTTGAACTCTTCTACACATTCAATCGAGACTATTATTATTCATATTTAAATACTATTTGATTGAAGTTCATTAAAACATTTAATTAAAAAATTATCTGCGGATATTATCTAAGCTGGGTATAAGGCTTGATTTTACATTCTGAAATTTATAAGTCTAAACAATAAATGTCCACTTTCCTATATAATTTATTATCTTTACGTTTACAGCTTAATCAGCTTTTGCTATATTAAGGTCTTTCTTGTTTAAAACATGTAAGTAAACATAGAGGTTTTTCATTTTGATGAAATATTTTACATGTGTAATAATAATCACAAAACACTATGACTAACATCAACAAGGTCTCCTAACATTAATCAACACCAGAGGGCAACAAATTTTCATGATGTTGAATGCCTAATCTTGTGACACACAACGTGTTAAGAAAACACTCAGACGAAAATCACTATAAGACAGATGATAAATTTAAATCATCTCATTCTGAACTGGCCCATTATGGATTATCAGTAAAGTAAGTGAATAACAGCACCATGAATTACACCTCATTTCTTGCACAACCCCCCCCCCCACCACACACACACTGATGAAGAAGCCTTTTGTTCCATAACATAGTTCATCAAAGCAGTTAGCTTGCTGCATATAAAGCCTTAGTTAAAAAGTATTTTTATCAGTCATTACAAGTAACTAGCATTAAACATTACTTTAATTTGGCTTAGCTTTATGATTTTCCTACTGACCCCCTCATACAGTTGAGCCCTAATTCGCAGCTCAAGGCAGTATAACTTAAATACCTACCTAACTCAAGACCATTAATCTAAGCTTGACTTCTGCAGTTCTATAGAGTTCCTCTAAACTTAATCAAAACTGGTTCAGTTAGTTCCTCACAATAAGACAGATGCACAGCTTTGCTTTATATATAAACACAGATTAAGTCTTTTATAATGTTCAAACAAGGGTTGTCTGAAAACTGCTAAATACAAAAACAAGGATGCTGTTTTACTTGTTCAAATTAAAGTAAAAATAAAATAATTTTAAGTCCTCTTAATATCTAATCTTCTCTATCACTTAAAACAGGTTGGAAATTATAGAATGCTTACCATAATGTACTAACATTTGTCGAATGTGCCTGTGAAAACTGACTAACAAGGAAGAAGCCTGAAGCAACCACATAGTCTGTCTATTTTAGTACTCTTTATTATCAATGTTTCAGTTTTTCTCAGTCTACTTAATACAGTGGTTACAGGTATTTAAAACTACTTGTTATAAATGATTTTCCAATTCGATGAAATCCTTATCCCAAACTATAACTTTCTATATTCTTTTTCACAAATGTAAAACATTTTTGACATTGTACTATAAACATATAATTTCATTAAATGATACGGACAACTGTCTTTCCCTTATATATGAATGACAAAGAAAGCACTTACAAACTATCAGCCTTTATTTACAAAGTACAGTGTGTAATACGGGACAAATTTTGTAAAATGTTAATATTAGTTGTAGTACAGTATGTAATACGGGACAAATTTTGTAAAATGTTAATATTAGTTGTAGTACAGTGTGTAATACATTTGTCCCTACAACTAATATTAACATTTTACAAAGTACAGTGTGTAATACATTTGTCTTTACAATGAATATTAATATCACCTGTCTCTTTGAATCTCTGTCAGGAAGTAATTCTCCAATTTTGAGAATCCAGGAATTAATTTTATCCTTACACCTTCTTTCCACTTCATTGTGCATCCTACGCTTATGAAGACGTCGAATTCCATTGTCATACCTATGACTAGAACAAGGAAAGTTCAATGTATAAAATATAATCCTGTGATTTGTATCCAGAAAGAAAGACACATGCAATATTAATTATAAATTTATGTGCGTTATGTTAAAATAACATGGGTCACAAACTACCAAACTATATGCTGTAGTACAAATTTTTGAAAAACCACACTTTCTCTTATCTCTTTGAAGTTACAGAAAAACTCAGCTTTCAAAATCTGGATATACATGTATTTGTATACTCACACCACAATTTCTTTTGATAATATTCAAACTATAGTTATTTTAGTTCATCTAATAAATAACTCAGTTATATGATGTCCCCTATGTTGCTAGTTGAGACTGTCAGATTTAGTTACAATCGATCCAGCTGTTCACCAGTCCAGTTGTGAGCTGACACACACACACCAAGATTGTTCACATAAAGGCTTAGATGTACCTATACTTCACTAACTTCAAAGTCATATAATATAAATTTCAGTCAGTTTAAAAATGTTATAAGTTTTGTGTAACAGTTAATCCGTTTCTTGCTAATTGCTTTTCAATCAATAGCTTCCTTAACATGCACATTCATTTAAGTTTGGTTTGTGTACGCTTTATAAGCAAGCACAGAAAAAAAACAACACTTGTCTAGCAGTTCAGAATAATACAACTTCAGCATCAGGCAAGGAAAACATGTCAATAAACAGCTCTACAGACAACCTGTTTTATATAGCACAATCTCTTTAAATATACACAGTAGGTGGTCTACATCCATTGTTTTGTAACAGTTTACTGTTTTGAACTTGTGTTTAGACATCCACAGTAGGTGGTTTACAGCCCTTGTTTTGTGACAATTTTCTTGTTTTGAACATGTGTTCAGATATCCACAGTAGGTGGTCTACAGCCCTTGTTTTGTAACAGTTTACTGTTTTGAACTTGTGTTCAGACATCCACAGTAGGTGGTATACAGCCCTTGTTTTGTAACAGTTTACTGTTTTTAACTTGTGTTTAGACATCCACAGTAGGTGGTCTACATCCATTGTTTTGTAACAGTTTACTGTTTTTAACTTGTGTTTAGACATCCACAGTAGGTGGTCCATAGACCATGTTTCGTAAAAGTCAGCACCTGTGAATATTTGTTTAGATATTAACAGTTGGTGGTCTACTAACCAGACGTAACATTTTTGTTGATCTGAATCACAATAGTGGAAGAAGTTTTTTTTTAAAGCATTAACAGTTATGAGAAGTAAGGTCTTTCTGAAAATCAAAACAAATTCTGGTTATTTTTATATTGTGAAAAATCTAACAACATTCTGAATAACCAAAAACACTTTTACAACTAACCATTTAACCATCATGAATGTGGAATTTCTAGAAACAAATGACTTTACCAGAATGCTAACATATCTACTTGTCTTTCTTATAAACCTATATTTCTCATCCTCATCCCACAAAACACATATTAAAAAGTAAAATATGAACATTTACATTAAATATTTACATTAAAAAGTAAAATATTTTTTTTAGGATCTTCCTTTTACGTAACAGTGAACACCATCCATACAACACCATTGGCAGCTCAGTTTTGTTGAGAATGGTATATACCGTGTTTTAAGTCTAAGCTCTCCATGTACTTTAAAGTTCTTAACACTTAGTCATTACAATTTTACAGTGCAGCATGTGGAATACCCCACACATGAACCAATACAGAGATCATGGTTTATGCTAATACTGCCATTAACTAAACAGATCTTTAATTTATATATAGCATATAGCTTTCTGTAATTTTTAAGTCACATATTCTTCCTACAGCTAGCAGTCAAACACACACTAAAGAATAACAAAGTTTATTTTAAAAAAGTTATAAAACATATAATAGAAATTACATTTATCTGTAGTTTAGTAAAAAAAACTTTTTTGTGATATACATTCTAACAAAAATAGATCCATCAAAGTTAAATGACATTCAAATGAAGGTTAAAAGTACTCTTTAGACAATGTAATATGTTCAGAAGGCTAAGAATAAAAAAATGTTTCCAGTAGAACATTAGCTGTAGCCCTCTCCACATGCAACACTACCAAAACATCATACACGAACCATAAAGCAAATACTTCATGCATATACGATGTGCCCAATGAGCAGACTTGGGCAGCTTTATTAACACTGTAGGCCTGGCACACGAGGAAATGTGATTTATGTAGTCCTTAGCTTTCAGACTGGTGGACAGTTCTTCGTCAGGGGTTGTTACAAGTCCTTCTAACCACTAACAAAGGACTGTTCACCAGTTTGAAAGTTATGGGCAAACATTACTGTTTATTTAAACATAAGAGTATATGGGCTGTATAAACAATTTATACATATTTTCTACATGTGAATAAGCTCACAATAATGTTTAAAAATTGTTTCTATATTCCTAGTACCTTTCAATCAAAACAGGCATGAATAATACACTTAGAATTAAACTTTAACGTAAAATATTTGTTCTAAGATACAATTAAAAAAGAAAAAAACACTAAAATAATGTCATTTAGAGATGTTTAAAACAAGTTTAATTGTCTCTTTGGGTTTCACTATTATTTCTAGAGGTCACATGTATGCAAAAAACTTGCATATTTAAAATAACACTACATTTATCTCTATAAAGTTTTAAAAATCTTATTAAAAGCTCTAGATATTTTTCAAACTGTGTAGGAAAAAATGCTGTTTTATTTAGTTGTTTTTAAAAGTTGACACATACAGCAAATTACTAAAAACTTGACCTATATATTTCACATCAAAAATAAACATTTAAATAAAAAGGATTTGTTTATATTGAAGAGACAGACTTTCTAGGTTTAGGGAGTACTGAGAATCTGCAGTTAGCTATTGGAAAATAAAAAGGATTTGTTTATGTTGAAGAGACAGACTTTCTAGCCAGTAGCTAACTGCAGATTCTCAGTACTCCCTAAACCTAACAAAGTTTACCAGGTTTACTGTTATAGATGAAAATTTCTTAAACTTTCAAACAGATATAATTTAACACAAAAACATCTGATAGATGGGATATCCCCCAACGCTACTACCACAGACATTATCTGCTATGACAATAAGTAAACAACGAGGACTGATAACGGTAATGCAATAATTAATCAATTATTGTTTTATAGTGCCGATTTAATCGGCTATTAACAATTAATGTAATCAACAGTTTGTAAGCTATTTATCCATTTTAATATATATACACACTGACAAAGCAGTCTTACATTAAACCACATCTCAACAGCATGCACAGAGCAGAAGCAGATGGGTTTAATGCTTACTGCACTTCCCTGTTCTATTTGTATTTTGAGAATGAAAAATATGCCCTGTGAAGCATCACTGGACATTTGGTGGGTTCCATCATCTCTAGTTAATATACTTTAACATATAATTATGGTGATGAAAGACCCATAAAAAAAAACAATAGCAAAATTATTAATACTCACCTCAATAGAGCCTCTGGAAAAACTGGCGAGTGGCAACTATAAGACAACAAAAATCAAAAACAGATGGAACCGCCATGTGATATAAGTAATGTAACACAAATGTATCAAGAGCCTTCCAAATCTGTGCCTGCAAGATCTCATCTAGGGATCACTGACGGTGAGAGGCTAGAGATGACGTGAGAAGACAAACCTGATGGATGATAATGTTGACACTGGTAGTATAAACAAGCTCTGTGAGTTAATTAATCCAAAGAGTCAAAGTAGAAGGTGATAAGTCCAGAGAAGAAAACAGAATGATAATTACTGTATATGGGAGTAATACAAGTGAGATAACAACAAACTGCCCAAACAGCAGAAGACGAAAGAGGATGTGATGATCATATAAAGAGCAAATGGAAGAGAAAGTGATTGAAGAAAACATCAGATCATCCTCCCAGCCAGCCTAAGTCTTTGGGAGAAAGGAGCAATCCAAAAGTAAAATCAACCTATCCCTGTGATAAAGTGTGAAAGAGGCACCTAAGGGAAAAGTGTCTGATCGATTTCTCTCACAAGCAAGAAGAAATCTTTAATGAAAGATAATACATAGAACAGGTGGCTAAAAGTTTGAATAAGGGTCTGGAGAATGGCCAAACAAGAAAGAAAATTGAAGAGAAAAGCTTAGAAAAAGTCTGTTAGAACCAGAAAAAGGAAAGGAGAATGGCCAAGGAGGAGATGGAAGGTCATTTACAAAGTAGCCTTACAAATGGCTTTCAAAAAGCAAAGTGAGATGAAGCAGAGTAGGATGCCCTGAAGGAGGGGAGTGGGGGAATAAATCAGTAGTGGTAAACCATCTATTTGCATTGATAAAGTGCAAGGGCAGATGACTATACAAGAACAAGCCAGAAAATGATATACTCTGTGAGAAAAGCCCTCCATTCATGCAAGTGACCAGACAAATTCCATGCATGAAGATGAAAGCAGGAAATCTTATAGTAAAAATTGAATAATTGAGGCTGTCATAAAAAGATCCTCCAAGGTGGAAGAGGCTCCCCAGGTATCAAGAGGCACATGAGTAGAAACCAAGACTAAGACAGCCAAAGAGGTTGACTGCAAAAAAAACAGGGAAGTCTGTGAGAAAGCACCTATCTAACTCAAAGATTGTCTGCAAAGTAAATACGGAAGTGTCCCAAGAGGGGCAGCCAAACTTCAACAATACTAGAACCAAGAGGCAGCTCCAGAAGCAAGTCACCTCCATAATCCACAATGACCAACCCTCCAGGAGAGGGGAATGTCAACATAAAGCAAGATAAGGAACAAGAGAGGAGCAACTACATGTGACTCTTGAGCCCTAGAAACCTGGACTGAAAATTTGGGAAACCAAAGTAATCAGAAAACCCTGCTAATGAGCAGCCTCAACTGGAGTTTCCAAAGTGTAAGGAACACCTCCAAAGACCTTGTCTTGAAAAAACGGATCCAGACAGAGGTTCTTGAGTTAAGACTGAGGGGAATGAACACCTTAATGTAAGGCATCCCTACCAAACAAGTCTTTAAAACAAACAAATCAAGTAAACTGGGATATTGCAGAAGAAAAAATCAAGGCCAAGGTAGCAAACAGGTAGGAGCAAATGTCCCTAGTGGAGTTGTTGGGATTACGATGAAGAGTTCCAAAGAGGAGATGAAGTGTAAAGAATAACAAAGAAATTCAGTAAATGCAAGAAGATGAACAGATAAGGACAAGTACACGACAAATTATGAGAAGAGGGGATCTCCAAACTAAACGAAAAGATTCAAGGTCCTTACCTCAAGGAAAGAAGAAGAATCTTGGCCTTAAGACATAGAAAAAATGTCACAAAATTGAGGACAAGAAGACTGTATGGATTATGCAAAGCTGATCCAAAAAGGTATCACCACAAACACAAATGTCAGGGAAGAAAAGAAAAAGATGACAATCAAAAGAAGGCTTATGATGCAATGTAGTTCAAGACTCATTAAAAACAACTGAAGAAAGAGAAAGAATATCACATACCTCAATAATCAAAGCAACAAAGGATGAAGGTAGGGTTACCTGTTCCTCATCAGGAAGAGAAGGAACAGGCAGTGGGAACAGTTTGTCAGAACTGGCAAAAGATGAGGCAGGCTCAGTTGAAGCAACAGAGACAGGTCGAGGAACCTGGATCCAAGATAAAGAAGGTAGAAAAGAAACAACACCTGGTGCACAATGGCAGTAACTTCAACTGTCAGAGTGCCTCAAGTATCATTTAAAACAGCAGGAGTAGGCTTCTTAAGTGGAGTATCAGGACCTAGGTGGTAGCAGAAATATAGATCTGTGAAAGTGATCTTGTCAAAATGATCTATGTAAACTTTTTTTTTTCTTTTAACAGAGTAATAACAGTAAGTCTGATTGACAGTGAAGATATGAATACATACAATATCAGAGAGACAATAAGGCTTAACTGCAAGTTAAAGAACAAAAGCAACACACAAATCCCACAATTATGAAAACAAATTTGAACACATTTGAAGACAAACAGTTCTGAGAAAAGAACATGCCTTTGTTATCCACAAGAAATACCCACCTATAGAGGACTACAGTCCAATGATAATTATACCCACCCCACCTATAGAGGGCAACAGTCTAATGATAATTACATCATAGGCTAATGCAATGCATGTTAGTATGTTTAGGGAAGGAGAGTTCCATTAAAGGCTTTTGACAAATGCAAAAATCTTCACAGTAGTGAAACGAAGTAATACCTTTTTGTTGTGCAGAATGGTAAGTAAACATCTCTGAACAGAATATTTAAAATATTGCTTTCAGGTCTAATAAGTGCAATACTTTAACTGTTGTTTTGTCTACAGCTTTAACCAATTAGGTAGCTACGAAAGCAACCATTATCTACTTTGAAAGAATATAAAAGTTTCCACCCCTCTCTTTTTAAAGCCACATACATAAAACAATGAATTAAATTACATATTAAGCCAGAAAAATTATCAACCAAAAGAAAGCACAAATACAAGTACACACCAAAATAAAGCAACGATAGCTTTTTTTTAGCCCAGTATATAATTTCTAAATACTCATTTATACTTTTATTATTATTTTTTGTCCTCTATTCATTTTATTTTACCAAACCAGGGGTCAGTTCTTAGTAAAACCTATACACCCAACAAGAATATACTTCATAAGATGTATATTTAAATGCTTTAAATCTTACCTTTGTTCATCATCACTACTGCACGTAAACTGGTTAGACATTGTGAAAGATTCAAGATCTTCAGGATAGTACCTCCCACATTTCAACTTCCTTTTGCTTTTCCGTTGAGTGATGTCTAAAATATTACACAGATTTACATGTAACATGTGTAAGTTAGGATGGAGGGTGAGGGAAATACTAATTGTAACCAAAATATAATGTTAGTTGAAATGATATATATATATATATATATATACCTGTCATGAGCTATACAAAGTACAAATTATCAGCTAGAAATGTCAACCACCTATAAACATCAATTTTTCATGTCTATCACCTTCCTTCAAAGATGTATGTTTATTTGTTACAGGAATCATATTTTAAGCCTTGAAACCAGAAACATGTACAACACTTGGTGTTTTAAATCTATCCAACAAAATTATCAGCACTAACTCAATTTTTTTTATTTCACATTTATTAAAATGGTAATAAAATGGAGGAGTTCTTAATGCACTATCAAATGTAGGTGAATTTACTATTACTTATAATTAAACTAGTTAAGAAAAACTAAAGAAAAAGATGTGACAAGTAATTAGATATAGAAATTCGTGACCCACAAACAAAACATAAGGAGTTAAACATACTGTATCAACTGTCCTGTCTTTCCAACAAGCCAGATAAGCAGTTTTTGCTTATCATTACTGTTGATAAAACTCAACTTTTTGGCATTTCAGAATATTAGAAAAGATAGATAAAATAAACTTTACTTTATAATTTTCAAAATGCCAGTTTTATGGCCAAGACAAGATTTATCATTAGTGAAATGGAATAGTATGTTAACAGGAAAATCTAAAAAATAAGCTGCTTTTAATTCAAGTCAGGCATATTCCTAAAAAGAGGAAAATAATAGCAGAGGGAGATAAAATCTAAATGGCTTCGTAAAGTCAGAAAGGTCAAAAGAATGGATAAAAACCATAAGTTAAAATGACAGATTTAAAGAACTATATGAAAGCTAGGTGATATGACTAGAAATCAAATCAAATATAGCTTATGAAAAACAGCTGACCAATATCATTAAGTCTAACAGCAAGGTACACAAAAGGTTAAGATCAAGGTTTGGCCCTTAAAGGGTGCTGATTTTTGTTGACTATAAGACAGCTGAGCTTTCAAATATTTTCTACTGCTACAAGAAATGAAGTTAGACATATTAACTTTTTCTCTTCCTTCATAAAGACTTGACTGTCCAATCAAACAAGGAAGAGAAAAAGTTTATAAATGTAAAGTCAGAGAAGACATAAAGACTTGATTGTCCAACCAAACTCTTCCCTGACTTTTCATTTATAAACTTTTTCTCTTCCTTCATTAAGACTTGATTGTCCAACCAAACTCTTCTCTGACTTTACATTTACAAACTTTTTCTCTTCCTTCATAAAGACTTGATTGTCCAACCAAACTCTTCCCTGACTTTACATTTATAAACTTTTTCTACTTCCTTCATAAAGACTCGATTGTCCAACCAAACTCTTCTCTGACTTTACATTTACAAACTTTTTCTCTTCCTTCATAAAGACTCGATTGTCCAACCAAACTCTTCTCTGACTTTACATTTATAAACTTTTTCACTTCCTTCATAAAGACTTGACTGTCCAACCAAACTCTTCTCTGACTTTTCATTTATAAACTTTTTCTCTTCCTTCATAAAGACTTGATGTTTGTCCAACCAAACACTTCCC